TGAGTCTTGACGGTCAAGCAAGGGGCATGAGGGTGAACGCCACAGCAATTAAACCTTGCCCTTGAGAAGACAAAATGATACCTTGGTGCTGTGATAGATGTAGATAATTTGCTTACTTGGGAAAGTTAAAATTTAAACCAAAGTACATTGATGAGCAGGTCCTATCTACACATGCGAGTGAATACTGGAGATCAGTCTTTAATGTGTTGTACAAGCATTGACTTGGCTGACTCAGAAAGAAGTCCACAGAGAAGCCTAAAAGATGTAATTTGACAGTAAATCCCTTATGCCATGAGATGGCAAAGACATCTTTTTGTAAATAGTATAAATACCCACTGGTTGTGGGAGCATATACCACCTTCAACCAGAATCGGAATGCATACAACCAAGCTTGACATTCCACCAATTGAAGGCCAGCCTCCAAACACAAGGCAGCTGAAGAGATGCATCTTGGCATGGCAAATAGGAATCACAGCGAGTTTGACAGGACACTTGCAACTGAGGGACTGAAACCATTTATCCAGATTGCAATACCATACAGGAGCTGAGCAAGAACTTTGTGTTTATCTGTAGAGCAACAGGGATGAACTGCCTACCCTGGACATAGTGATATTGTCTAAGAACTTTGCTTGTATTATTAGCCACCTGCACGGCTGCTTGTTTATGGTGAGACCAGGAGAGGGTACGTGAGAAGACAATTCCTAAGTATTTAAATGTTTTAACTTGCTCTATATGCTGGCCCTCAATAATCCATTCTTTGACTTTTCTATGCCTAGAGAAAACCATTATTTTGGTTTTCTCGAAGTTAATTGTTAATAGGTTGTTCCTGCAGTAACTCATAAATGCACGTATTCATTTAAGACCAACTTCCGATAGTGATACGATAACAGAGCACAGCTGTCCATAATATGTGTACAAATTTAACACAGGCAAAGAAGACAATAAAAACACTAGACCAACCTGTATTTGAACAACAGATTTATTATAAGAAAAATCAGCATGACATTAAGTAAAAATGCAAAATTGTGCAATTATGGCAAAATGTTTAAAAATCCACACATTTGCCCTTGGAGGACTACAGTACTTCTTACTGACATACCTGAGCACTGAACATCTGATGCCATTCCTTAACAGATTTTGGAACACAGGGAGCTCTGATATTATGCAAAGCACATGCACTCTAGACAGAACACTGCTGGATGTGGCAGTCAGGAAGCAGCCTATGAGGCACTGCTGTTGCAGAGCCTTGTTTCACTTCCAGAGTGTGCACACAAGGCTGTGGATAACATGCAACAGCAGCACTTGATGGAGTCCCTTCAAGCAACAAGTTCTAGCATAAAAACCAGGAGTAGTTTTCCAATCCCATTTCCAAAATTAAAAAGGATTAAAGTTGGAAGAGTGAAGCCTCCAGAAGCTAAGTAAAAGCAGCAAGAAAAAAAAGAAGATGGGCAGAAGAAAAAAAAGTAGCCCTGTGCAGGTTAGTACAATTCACAACTATGGTACCTTCGGTGGTTTCACTATGCACATGGCTGTTCAGAATCAGATTTTTCAAAAGCAAGTTTACACTAGCAAATTCTCACTGGGTAATTTAGAAGCATGTAAACAACTAAAGTTCCTTGGCTATTTTCTCTGCTTAAATAATTATTCATGCGTAAGACTCAATGTATTCCACCTCCATGGCAAAAATTCAAGAATTATCTTTCAGGGACACTACAGTCAAACCCTGCAATCCCACCCCACTCCCCACCCCAGTGTGAATGGTTAGACAAAGTTCTTTGTATTTAGTGCAGATAAAAATGAAAAATAAAAACAAACAAACTTGCTGTAGAATTAACCACAGCTTACTGTACTTCTATACATCACATGAAAGGGTAACTTGCTAATTTAAGCTAGTTTCTTAAATTTCAAGTCAGATTGACATCTCTACTAAATAAATACAGAAGATTGTCAAAAAGCAGCAATAACTCTTGAAAAAGATTTTCAACTGAACTTGTCTGAAAGATACATGACACCTCATTTAGCAAAAACAAACAAACAAACCCTTATACAACATTTAAGGAAGGGTGCTTTAGAAAGTTTGCAGCTAAGAAGATTACAACACTGCATATATAGCCAACTAAGTAGAAAGACAAGTTAAAATACATGGGAGCAGCAACTCCAGGAAACCATAACTTATTTTAAAATTCAGCCCCAGTCTTTCATTCACAGAAGCCCTAACACTCACTCCCAAAGTAGCAGACTCTCATTCTTCCAGCACACTAGATTATGCATTAGAACCTATTTGATGACTGCAGTCCTAGGGGTAATCCTCCAGTAACAGGGGAGCATTTTCTAGAAGATGAGTTATATCTGAGAATGATATATGAGAATGAGGTTTTATTATTCTTGTAGCTTCACAGTTGTGTTCAATATATTGTGCAAGATTTAAAACAAAGAAAGTTCAACTGGGATTATATTAACACAAGACATTACTAGGGAATATAGGCCAACATTTGCTAAACCAACACTGTTTTAAACGTAATTTATTTAATTATAGGTTGTCTGATGTGTTATGAAGTCCAAAGATTTGACCATTCTTGAATACAGCTCATGATTTATAGCAAAACCATAAGATGGTTTTGCTATAAAATGAAAGCAGGGCACATTTTGTTTTTGAGGAACTGTGCTCCCTTCTTATTCCCTGGCGAAGAACTACCAGTTAATACACGCAGCATTAATCTTTTAGATCAGTGGTTCCCAACCTTGGGTAACCCAGGTGTTCTTGGACTAAGATTCCCAGAAGCCTTCATCACCAGCTGTGCTGGCCAGAGCTTCTGGATGTTGCAGTTCAAGAACATCTGGGTTACCCAAGGTAGGGAACTACTGTTTTAGATCCGCCTACACATAGATATGGAAAACAAAAAAACCTTACTAAGACACTTCAAACATAAGCTTTGAGATATTGTTACAAAGTACTGGACTCTTTTTTTTCCCAAAAGGAACTTGTCTATGTTTCCTAAAACTGACTATCCTTGGGTCACAAAAAAAGAAAAGGAATAAAAGCTCAGTAGTGCAAACATTCACATTACTCCAAAAACAAATACAACTGAAATGTCCAGGTAAAATTTAGGAGAATTCAGCTATCCTGGTAACATCCAGAACTGTTTTTATTGTAAGTTAACTGGGGCAGATATTGCTCTATAAGAACATATGCATGAAACAGTTCTCAAAATGACTGCAGAAGAGAACACAAAGTGATGGATCAGCATGTCATATTTTTTATAAAATAGTCACTATTATTACCTAAATATACCTGTAACTGCTAGTCCAAAGCAAGCAGAATGGCTCAAATTAGCAGTCAAAACTAGAGTAAACCCAGTGAGTGAGTGGGGATTCACTCAGTCAACTCCTCCATGGGTTTTACTGATTCAGTGGGCCTACTCTAGTTGTGACTTAATACTGGATTTCAGCCAGTAAATCAAAGGGATTGATATCTTCACCTAGCATTCAGCATTTTACTCAACTGAGCTACTCTAGCTGGGAAAGAAGATTTTGGCCTATTCTCCCAACAGCCAGTTGCATCACACTGCAATCCCACAGATGTTTATGTGGAAAATGGACAAAATTCTGCTGTTTAGTTATACCTGGAGAAGGTAAACAGCATACTTTGCAGAGGCTTTCACTGGCAATTAACAACTCTCAATTTGAATTTCTAGCCATGTGCCAAATTGGCAGCTGGGAACATGTTCAAAAACCCAGTGCAAGTTATACCATTTGTCTTGTATGGGCACAAACACAACAGGATTTTGGCCAGCAAGCCATTCTGTGTTCAGCAAAGCTATTCCCTGGTAAATGGGCATGAGATTATAGCACAATATAGACTTTTGGGGGCTGACAGGAAATTACTCAAATGATATGATCAGATTTACTGGACAACAAACAAAAAATATATTGAGCACTTAACTTTCTAAAAGATGGAAACCGCTCCAAACAACCATTAAGATAAATTAACCTATCCTTATTCTACGTAATAAACTAGCGCCACAAGATCAAATGAAACGGGTTTGCACATAAAGCAGCAAGATATATCCTTACCTCTTCAGACATTAATACTAAATGACTAACTTAAATTAGCAGTCCCATTTGACCCATTTCAGACTTGCAAGTATTAAAAATGAACTAGCACCATTGGGTTTAAGCCCTTAATGGAGTGACCAACATATTTAACTGCTTTGGGAGCTCTACATTTAATTGGCAGAAAATGACTCTTATAACACCACTGGAAAGTTAAGACCAAGTTACAAACACTAAACTCACAGAGGAAAAGCAAAGCACCCACCTGAAGGAGACCTTATTTCCCTCCCACCCCCCAAATGGCATGTTTTTATGTTCTGCTGCAAATATTCATCTCTTCAGAAATGACTACAATGTAAAAACAAAAAATATTTCAGTATCATTATACACATGGAAGAAATATAAGGAGTTAATAGTTGTCTATTTCGTCTCACTGAATCTAAAACAGCAAACTAGTGATATTGCCTCAGATTTTACCCGTATTTTAAATAAGAAGTCACTTCAAACTTGCTCTCTTCACCTTTACCATTTGTGTTAGATTTGCTCTCACTGCAGTGCATTGTCACCCCATTCATCTGCTCCTGCTGTTAGTCAAACTGTCACTCTAGAACAGTAGCTTAGCTCCCCAGGTGTTCTTGGACTGTAACTCCAAGAAATCCTGACCAACAATGCTAGTGGTGAAGGCTTCTGGGAGTTTTAGTCCAAGAACATCTGGGGACCCAAGGTTGTGAGCCACTGCTCTAGAACAACATGATGAAATAACTCAAGTGGTGAAAACGCTGATAATTGCACTTTGTAACCCCCTCCTTACTCTGCAGGAAAACATCCTTAAGAAAGTAAACCATCAATTCCCTTCTCCCCACTGCAACCTTTAAAGAGTACCCATTCCCATGTAAAAAAAGCCATCCATTTCAACTCACATTAAATACTGACAGATGTTTTTTTTAAAAAAAACAGATTTTTATGTTAGCATTAAATACCAAAGTCACTAAGGCCTTTTACCGATGAAAGGGGGGGGGGAGTCAAATAACTTTCTGAAGACACTGTGGATACAATTTAGCAACAGCACATTCAAAATGACGTCCAAGATCCCAGAGCTTATCTGGGGTCTCATACACCTTCTGCCACTGGTCAGTATCTTCATCATACTGATAAAGAGAATTCTTCCTGCTGGTTCTGAAGACATGTTCTTCAACAGTGACTTGAGTAGCTCGGACAAACAAATGAAGTTTATTTTTGAGGATAACAAGTTTAATGTATGGATTAATGGACTGGTCACATGGGAAATCTCTCTTTTGAGTCCACTTGTTCAATTCAATGTCATAGGCCTCTACGGTAAACATACGTTGATGGTTCCCACAGGTTCCAGCAATGTAGTAGATGGAGTTGTTATAGACAGCTGCCAAACCCTGGATCCTAGGCACAGTCATGGGAGTTAAGAAACCCCAGTAATCTTTTCGAGGATCATAGCAGAGGAAAAATTCTCCTGCAGATAAAAAGGAAAAGAAAGCAAAGTGTAAAAAAGTATGTAAGAAATAGATCTGCTAAATATTTTCCTAAAGGACAACACTAGGCAAACTCCAAAATAAATTTAGCCTTCTGAATTTCCTAATCTTATCAAGTCTTTTACTACAGAGTGAAAAGTGGAATTGTTGCAAGTTATTCTGCCTATGTATGGGAGTAGTTACAATACACTGGATCAAATTTTATAAGATGTAACTAGAATAAGCTCAATAAATTATTAGAATTTACAAAGAAGCTGACTCACCAAATCCCCAGAGTGATTCAATGGGCTCACTATAGTTATAATTTAGTATGCTATGCAACAGGATTTCAGCCATAAATCTTATCAGGAGCCATTTTATACAAATAAACAGTAAGAAGCTATCAGCAGTTAGTACTATAATGACAAAATCAGTTTTCTACATAAAGTGTATTTCTACTTGATGACAGCAGAAAATACTGCTTTCAGAAACTACAGTACATAAAAATCACTTGCATTAGAATTCATTAAAAATCCACACCTATTCAATGATTATTTCATAGTCCCAGTTTTCTTGTCCAGCTATGATAATTTTTCCACTACACGTTTTCCAGCATAACCCATGACAAATCTGGGATGCTAACAGTAAAACTTATAACAACATTCTAAAATTGAAATTTGGATGTGGACTGGTAAGGATTGTTTGATTGATTGACTGATTTTATACCACCCAACTTAGTGAAAACTCACTACTCTGGGTAGTGAACATAAAGATAATTAAACCCACAACACTATGACACCCAATAACAACATAAAGTGACAAAATAATATAAAAGAGAAAATAACAAGTTACAACAAAATAAAACAAAGCCAAATGGCAACAGAAACTAAGCACCAAAAGAAAAAGTAATATATTTCTATCTCAGAGGAAAGATGTGTTGAAAGTCCTCTTTATAAAGTTCTGCTTTGTTAAGAATTCTGTATGTAAGGATGAACGAAGGCCTGGTGTATGTCCAGTTGTAGGGAATTCCACAGCAATGTGGCTACCACCAAGAAGGCCCAATTCGGGGTTGATCTTCTCACCTGTCTTGGTATGGCCACTCTAAGTAGTCAGTTCTATGAGGAGTGGGTGACATAAGTAGTACTTCTTTGGAAAGACAGTCTGACAAATATGGAGGTCCCAAACCATTTAGGGCTTTATACATCAACACTAATATCTTGATATTGGCAAGGAAACTAACAGGCATCCAGTGCAAATGGGCCAAGATTATGAAGATGTGATCAAATCTATTTGCCCCAGTGATCAGCCTGACCACTACATTCTGGAACTGATGAAGTTTCCATATCATCTTCAAGGATAGCCCCATGTAGAAAGCACTGCAGTAGTCAATTCTTGGTATTACTGATGTGTGGACCAATGCTGTCAAGCACTTCCTGTCCAGGTAGGGGTGCAGCTGGGTGATCTACCAAAGTTGGAAGAAGGCAGATCTAGCCATAGGAGATATTTGGTGTTCAAATGAGAGTACCAAGTCAAAAAGCATCCCCAAATTACAGACTTGATCTTTCAGGGGAAGTGTAAACTGACCATTTAAGACCAGGCAAGATGCCCTAGCTAGTCACAGATCCTGTGTTTCAAGGGGTTGTAGTTTAGTGGTACAAAAGCATGGATGTGAGATATATCTGTGAAGATTCTCAGTCATCCAGGTGAGATTATCTGGAAATTGAGTCATGACAACTGGACTTCTTTCTTGTTAAGTTGAAACATTTTACTACTCATCTACTTGGATGAGTAGCGAAACATTTCAATCTGATAAGAAAGACGCCCAGTTGCAATGACTCCTCTTCCAGATGGATGTGAGATACAGATCCTCAAAGAGCCACATAATCCTTTCATGGGATAGTTCCCAACCCACCATCAGTTCACAGATACCATCTGTGCCCAAAGATGAACCATAAAATTGATGGATCTCTGATTTGAACTCCCATCTGTGGCTATAAACCAAACTATGGGGATGGCATAAAATTTTGGCTTAAAGACATCCACTCTACTGGATCCTTAGGGATTTCACATGACTTCCACATGAAATATCAGTTAAATCATAGATACGAACCACATTTCACAAGAAACATCCATTGATTAATGCAAAGGACTATCAAAATCTAAAAAGATTAATCGGAGGCACAGATCATCATGGATCCATGACTTCTGGATCATAGATCCAAAACTATTGTCCACATCATAAATTACTTCTGTACCCACAGACAGACCAAAATTTATGGGAGGGGTTTGGGTACCTTGGTGGGCCTGGCCATAGATCATTTAGAATACTTTGGGTTCTATATGAGTTTTGTCATGGATCACAGTTGGATCCCTCAAACAAATCCCTAGAGATCTCTGTGATTTTTACAGGAATTCAACCAAAAACCTTAATTACAGCACAAAATAAATCAGGTTTTTACATGATTTCCACCCCAAACCACTATAGAAATCATAGATGTCAATGGACAGTACCAGAAAAGAATCTCTCACTCTGGGTACCAGGATCAAAAGGGTGATGTTTCATCATCAGAGGGTGATGATTAATGGGTCCTTCTCTAACTGGGAGGAGGTAACAAGTGAGTACCAAGGCTCAGTCCTGGGCCCGGTGCTCTTCAACATTTTTATTAATGACTTGGATGAGGGAGTGCAGGGAATGCTTGTCAAATTTGCAGATGATACAAAATTGGATGGAATAGCAATACCCTAGAAGACAGAAACAAAATTCAAAATGACCTTGATAGGATGGAGTACTGCACCGAAAACAACAGAATGAAATTCAACGATAAGTGCAAAGTACTGCACCTTGGAAAAAGAAATAAATTGCACAGTGACAAGATGGGGGGTACCTGGCTCAGCAAAACTACAAGCGAGAAGGTTCTTGGAATTGTCGTAGATCACAAGCTAAATATGAGCCAACAGTGTGATATGGCTACAAAAAAGGCAAATGCTATTTTAAGACGTATTAACAGAACTATAGTTTCCAAATCCCGCAAGGTGCTAGTCCCCCTCTATTCAGCACTGGTTAGGCCTCACCTTGAGTATTGTGTCCAATTCTGGACACTACACTTCGAAAAGGATGGTAGCAAATTGGAACAAGTTCAGAGGAGGGAGACAAGGATGATCAGGGGGCTGGAAACCAAGCCTTATGAGGAAAGGCTGAAAGAATTGGGCATGTTTAGCCTTGAGAGAAGACTGAGGTGATATGATAGCACTTTTCAAATATCTGAAAGGCTGTCATACAGAGGAAGGGCATGATCTGTTCTCAATCATCCCAAAGTGCAGGACATGCAACAATGGTCTCAAGTTAAAGGAAGCAACATTTCGGCTGAATATCAGGAAAAACGTCCTAACTGTTAGAGCAGTACAACAGTGGAACTAGTTACCTTGGAAGTTGGTGAGTGCTCCAACACTGGAGGCATTCAAGAAAATTTAAATAATCATCTGGCAGATATGCTTCGATTACATTCCTGAGTTGACTTGATGGCCTTGTAGGCCCCTTCCAACTTCACTTTTCTATGAAAAACCACAAATTTAAAGCATGGAACCTCATAGATCCATGCATTTAAATAATCACCTGGCAGATATGCTTCAATTACATACCTGAGTTGACTTGATGGCCTTGTAGGCCCCTTCCAACTTCACTTTTCTATGAAAAACCACAAATTTAAAGCATGGAACCTCATAGATCCATGCAGTTTTTTAAAAGGATCTGCATGAAACTTCCAGAAAATCATGTATCTCACTTTCATGCATTGAATGAGCTGTACAGTATACAGATAATCCATGCAACAATGAAAAACGTGCACCCAAGTTCCAGATCTTTATGGACCCATAAGATTCTTACATGGCATTAGCACTCAACCTATTTCAAATTACAGATCCTAAGGGGAAAAAGAGAAAATGGAAAGGGGGAAGAGGGAATATATGGAATGTGGAAATCCCCATATTTGGACATCAGAATGGATCTTGGAAGTTTGTATTCACTAGGTCAGGTCAGAGGGGTTATATAAAAGACAAAACATTTCCTTGTCATGTAGTCTAAACAGCCTAACAGAGAAAAACTGTTTCTGTTGTAGTTGCTTTCTGTAGTTGTTTTATGCATTCCTGCGCATACTCAGTTGTTACTTTGGAACTTTCCACTTGGAAAAAGAGCAACCTGTTTTATTATTCAGTGAGACTATTTAAATTTATACCCTGCCCATCTAGTGGACGAACCACTACTCTGGATGGTTTCCAAGAAAATAATATAAACATACAAACAGAATTAAGATAATAAACATTTTTTTAAAAAAAAAAACCTTAATAAAATGTCCATCTAGCAAATATTCCAAGATTCAGGATGGCGAACCATAGGTCGATGTGCATATATATCGTGTGTGTCAGTGCTTCTCCAAAGGCAATGTTGTTTATTACTAAGATTCACTCTGTGTTGTTTTGTGACCTCCAGCCACAGAACTAAGGAAAGTCTTCCCATCAATTTGGTGACAAAGGTGGGATGAAATAGCTGGGACTCTCTCTAGTGGTTTGACAGCGGTTGTAAAGAACAGCTTCTATACACAAAAAGTAAAATAAATTTCTTCCACTTGAGTTGTTCCTTTCCTCCTGACTGCTGGGATCAGTAAGAATCACTTTTCCTTTTATAAATTTGTGCTTACAAGGGGAAAACACAGAGTGATCTTCTGGGAAATTTGGTACTGGCTCTTAGGACCAACCTCTCCTGTGGATAGGAAGGATACTTACAGTAACAATGGGACAAAACAATTCTAAGTTTCCCTAGAGAAAACATCTGGATCAGTTGGTCAAACAATATAGTAGTAATGGCAAGTTCTGTCTCATAGATTTTTTCTTAAAATATTAATTTCTTTCTGTGAGAAAAACTGGAATAATCACACATTTGGGGAACCTAATTTTCAGTGGACACAACTGGGTCTTTTGATATGAATAAAATAAAGGAATTTTTAGT